AGTGATAGAGTCAGGCATCTTTGTGGCTATGGCTTTGGATCGCTACGTGGCCATCTGCAATCCCCTGAGACATTTCACCATCCTGACAAACTCCATCGTGGCCAAGATTGGCCTGGCCATGATGCTGCGCAGCGGCTTGCTTGCATTGCCCTATCCCTTCCTGGTAAGACAATGGCCATATTGCAGAACCAACATCATCCCCCAGTCGTACTGCGCACACATTGCCGTGGTGAAGCTGGCCTGCACCGACATCCGCGTCAGTAGTTACTATGGCCTCTTTGTGGTATTCTGTGTGATGGGTCTGGATGCGATTTTTATTGCCCTGTCCTACTCCCAGATCCTCAGGGTCATCTTCAGCCTCCCCACAAAGGATGCCCGGATAAAGACTTTTGGGACCTGCATCTCCCACCTTTGTGCCATCTTAGCCTTTTACATCCCAAGTCTCTTCTTCTCCCTCATGTATCGGTTTGGCCAGAATGTGCCCCTGCATTTCCACGTTCTCATTGCCAACGTTTACCTCTTGATGCCCCCCATGCTAAATCCCATCATCTACGGGGTGAGGACCAAACAGATCCGGGACAGGCTGCTCCGACTCTTTACTCATAAAGGGACCTAAAATTTTCTTCTGTTGCTCTGGCTCTCAGACGTCCATGCAGAGCTGGCTGGTGATATGGTGCTGGACAGTCAGAAAGACATTAAATCCTTTCCTGACCTTACTATGTTGCGTTGGTGTTGTGGAAGCAGAGAAAGAATTGACAGAAAAAGAATTGCAATGCATAACAGTTTGTTAGCAAAAGTCAGGCTAACTGTAAGCCTAATAACACGAGATTTGTAAAAGCAAGAAATGTGTAAGGCAAGTAAAAAAAAACTGTGTAAGAAGTTGTTGCGACCTTGTGTAGATAATGTGTAAATAATATGGAATATAGACTAAGAGTCTACATTAGTGAGCAAAACAAGATATCAGAATGACCTATGTATAAACAAAATGCAGCTGTTGCTCATTATTGTCTGTAACAAAAGGTATAAATGCTTGCTGTAATTGTTTACCTGTTGAGAGACCAGTTTAGCTTTTTTCCTTTATGCAATTAATACAAAAAAATAAAGTATTTGACTTGCTGTACCCAAACAAAAAGTGAGAACTCTGTTATTTTTTGACAATTTGGGGGCTCGTCCGGGATGGCAACGTCCGCAGAAGCACCGGCAGTTGCTACGGATCGTTCCCCTTTGAACCCCATGGCGCCACAATAGAGGTAGGAGACCTTATAAAATCTCTGTTGAGGTGTCGGAGAAGAACTGTCCGTGGGGCCGTCTGTCCCTGTTGGTCTCACGCCATCCGAACTTATTGACTGTGCAGCAAGATCAGATGCAGAGCGGTACTGGGGAATTGTTTTGCCGCCCCCCACTAAGGTAGTTGTATGCGGTTCTGGAAAACTGTTAGTTTGGCTGCCCCCATATGCATAAAAAAGATGCATAGGTATGCACCGGTGCCAAGGGGTTTTTACCTCCTCAAGAGGGGTTGTTACCGCCTCATAGTGTATTGAGTCCGGACATAAGGTACAGACGCATCGTGGTATTTGGAGATAGAGGCCGTGTGTGTGTGTGTGTGTGTGTGTGTGTGCACACCAGTGTGTATTGAGTGTCACGGGGACACACCCAGCACACTCCGCGGAGTC